CCCAGGATGACTGGCAGAATCTGCATGGGGGTGGTGGGGGCAGCAGGCACAAAGGCCTGGAGATGACACTGTCCATTATCTTTTAGGGGGATATTAGCTTAAGCATACTAGGGGAAATGACAGGTAATTTTAGTGAGATAGAATGGTGGCAGACTGAGGAGATATCTATTCAGATATTTTGGTGAAGACATCTAAGTACTAGAAATCAACTTGAGCAGCTTTACATGTATAACTGTATAACACGGTGGTTAGATCCCAGATTACAGAATAAGATGGCTTGGTGTGAATCCTTTCATGCATTGCTAGTTGTCTAACCATGGGGAAGTTGCTAAATTTTCCTGTCCCTCAGTTTTCTCATATGTAAAATGAAATAATACACAGAATTGTTAGGAGGCCTACATGAGATAATTTATATAAAGGGATTATAATGTGACTTGGTGCATACTAAATGCTCAGGAAGTTTTAGCTTTTCATGTTCTCTTTCATAACTTTCTGTATTGACTGAAATTCTTTAAATTACTTGAATTATATTTTTCAAAAGTTCATTAGAGCTCACCTCTAGGAGGCTTCACTGCTCTGAAGACTACTGTCTGGATGAATGTCCATTTTAAAAAAGCAATAAAATCTCAGGCCCCTCTACTTCTTAAAAAAAAAGCATCATTCCAGTTTCACAGATGTGTAACTAGATGGCCAACTTGGAAAGTGTTGAATATCATATGGCAACTTCAGAGGAGAAATGTGGTGATTTGAGCTACCTGTCTTAGGGAGACAAATACTTGAATAAGTTAATTGCAAGGAAACTATTTCTTTCAACCACTGCTGGAGTGTATGTGAACTGGTATGACATTTTTGGAAAGTAATCCAGCATTACTAACCTTGTGACTTATCTGTTGAACCTAGCAATTCTCACCAAATAAATCTACCATATAGAACCGAAGGCACCAGTATGAGAATAGATGTACAAAAATATTTAACACAGCATCATTTGTAGCTGAAGAAAACTAGAAAACAACCTTAATATGCAACACAAAGAAAATGTGTGGCTACTCTATGGCATGCCCATATTGTGGAATTTATACTCCAGGGAATAAATTAGGTCTATGTATAGTTCCAGGAGGAATATTCATGATATACTGTGAAATAACAAAGGAAAATTGGAGAGTGATGTGTGTGCTATTATTCCATTTTTATCAAAAAAAAAACCCCAACAACAATCAAAACAACAACAACTGTGTGTGTGTGTATTTGTATTAAAATGGAGAAATGTGTAGAAGGACATACACCAAGCTATTAACATTGATTACTTCGGGGCCACAGTAACTATGTGTCTATAGTCTGGCTTGTTAAAATGAACATGTATTGCATTTGTAATTTAAAAAATACATATAGTAAGGTGAGATGGATTTGGGGGGGGATTAATATGAAGACCAGGACTGAAAAGAGATCACTCAACAGCCTCAAATGAATCCCAGTTTCCAGACCTTGAATTATAATCTTGCTTTAGAAAGACCTTGTTGGGTAACTGGGGTTTTTGTTCAGTAACCACTAGATAATCCCAAACAGAAGAGAGTTAGAAGACAGAGGGTGGATACATTTGCTCCAGTAACCAGAAAGCAGAGATTTCTGACATTAGAGATCAGGAAGTGTGATGTTGACTCCCAGCAAAGTCCAGGAACAAATCACTAAAAAGTCTTCTTGCATATACGTAGGAAATGAAATAGCAATTATTAGGAGCCTGCATTTCTGGGAATTAAGTCACGCTAAAGCTAAATTAATCATATTCCCTCTCTCACATTGAAAACATTGAAACTTTTCTCATAATATGTAAGTAGCCAAGATAAACATGAGTTAGAAATATATCTGAAGGTTCAGAATATTGATTGATCTTAAAGATGCTTCTGAAAGTAGGTTTGTACCTGGACCTCCTTTCAATTTCTTAGCTATAGATACAAAAATGGAGTCTACAAAAAATGTCATATATATCTGTATCTAAATATAGATATAAATGACATAAAGCTTGGAGGAAGAGCTAAGTATTCATAAGGATAAGATCAGGATATGAAAAATTCCCAACAGGTTGGAAAGACTACAATAATGATATGTAACAGAATTGGGTCAAGTGGAAAGTGCATTCAGGTCCAAAAAAATCAACTCCACATGAAAGCAAGCAAGCTGGATGAGTAAGAATACAGATTTTAAAAGCTGAAGAG